ATCGCCATTGTTGTTTGTTTTAACACTGGAAATATTATTGATCAAAATTCGAGAGTCTCAGGAAATTAAAGGAATAGAAGTTAACAAAAAAGAATATAAGTTGAGAGCTTTTGCGGATGACTTGGTTGTTACTTTGTCGCAACCTGATTATTCTGCAGTAAACTTATTACAGTTGATTCATCATTATGGTTTGGTTTCGGGTTTCAAGATTAATGTAAATAAGACTAAAATCTTACCTAAAAATATGTCTAGTCAGGAGAAGCAGATTTTGGCTAACTTGACGGGTTTTGAGATTGTTAATAAGGTAAAATATTTGGGGGTGATGTTGTCTGTTTCTAATGTAAAATTATTTAAAAATAATTATGAAAGGTTGTGGGTCAGGGTACAGAAGGACTTGAAGAATTGGGAGAAGTTGCAATTATCCCTCATGGGAAGAATTGCAGTGATAAAAATGAATATTCTACCCAAGTTTCTTTTTTTGTTTCAAATGTTACCGATTTTGAAAAATGAGATTAATTTAAGTGAGTGGCAGAAGGGTCTTAATAAATTTATTTGGGCAGGGAAAAAGCCAAGGGTTAAGTTTAAAATTATGCAAGACTTCCGTGAGAGGGGTGGACTTAAGGTACCAAATTTGAAATTATATTACGATGCGGTGGTCTTAACACTAATCAGTGATTGGGTAAATTTGACAAATCCTGAGATACTTCATTTAGAGGGATGGGATTTACTTTATGGGTGGCATGCCTATTTAATATTTAATAAAAAAATGGACTGGGTCTTTAAATCTCATATTTTAAGAATTTCTTTACTTAGGATTTGGAGAAAATATTATAAAAGTGATTTTAAAGTTCCATTATGGGCTATACCTTGGCATGCGATAGAAGGAATAAAAAGAGGAGTAAAAATGGACATGGTGTCTTATAGTCAGTTACTTAGATGGGATGGGCAAAACTGGCAGTTAAGAATACGGGAAGATTTAGCGCAAGAAAATATTATTTATTCCTGGTTTCAATATAGGCAACTAGTAGATAAATGGAAGGTGGATTGTAAATTGGGTTTTCTTAGAGAAGATGGAAATCTTATTAAGCAAGTCAAGGATCAAAGACAAACCCATATCAAGAGAATTTATGGGGTATTAGTTGAAATGGACTCAGAAACGGAATTAATTAAAGATTGTATGATTAGATGGGCGCAGAATTTTGGTGTCCCAGTCTCATTGGACATTTGGGAAACCATTTGGGTGAGAAATGTCAAATTTACACAAGCACAGAACCTTAGGGAGAATTTTTATAAAATGTTTTATAGATGGCACCTTGATCCACAAAAAATGTCTCTTATGTACCCTGACGTGCAACCCAAATGTTGGAGATGTGGTTATAAGGATGCTTCCTATTATCATATTTGGTGGTCATGCAGAGAGATAAAAGCATTTTGGATCAAAATATGGTGGAATATCCAGAGAATTTTTAGAAGGAGGGTAAAATTTACTCCGCAATTATTTTTGTTAGGTATTGTTACAGATTGTGATACAAAGGAGGTTGTATTGATGTTAAATTTGATTACAGCCGCTAGGCTGTTAGTAGGACAATATTGGAAGAAGGAATCTTTGCCTACATTGCAGGAATGGTTTCTTAAAGTAGCTTATCTGGCGGAAATGGCAAAGATTTCGGCTTTCTTAAAGCAACAAACGCAAGAGAAGTTCCTTGCTGTTTGGGACAAATGGATAAAATTTATACAATTTAGATTGGGTATACAAAAATATCACATAGCTTTTTTATAAGTTTTATTTTTATATATATATATAGATATATTTTTTTATATATATAAATATAAATTTTTTAATTTAATTTTTTATTTTTATTTCTTAATTTTTAATTAAGCCTATATTCTGCTCTGGGAAGCTCAGGGGGGGGAAGGGAGGGATTTTGTGAGGGGTGGGGGATGGGGGGGGTTTTCTTTATATATGTAATGTTTAGTTTCTTTTTTGTATATGTTGTCTTTTGTTTTGTATTGTTTTTGTCTTTTTGTAAAATTTATAAAACTTTCAATAAAAAAAAAAAAAGAGAAACACCAGGCTTGGAATTATTTAATCAGGCATTGGGGAATCTGGTGGTTGTCAAAGACAACTGTTCACTTTCCCATTGCGATATTTTTGGCTTCATGATTGACTTTTTCCCTGTACCTTGCTCTTGTGCTGGGTGGTGTGTATTTCCTTATACTGTACTTGTACTGTTCTTTGGCAAATCATGCCGGGATATCTCATGCCTGGATTTTCTTGATGAGACTTGTTTACAACTTGTGCATCTTTGGAACTCTTAAGGTCAATCTATGGGCAACCATCTGCTGGTTTACCTCCCTTTGCTGTTGTTCTTCAGAGTCTTGCTCCTGGATGCATCAAATGGGTTGTTTCATTGTTGCTCATTGAACTGTGTGAATAGATGCTGATGCTTCTGCCACTTTGGGGAATTGGACTCAGAGGTTTGGGGAGTGCTTTATTGGAGTATAGTTGTGCAATAAACCTACTACAGTATTCTCTCACGGGGTGTCGCTTGCGTGACTTGGATCAGAGCAAAGATTCAGAGATGGTCATAATGTTTAGGAGGCCTCTAGCATTTAAAATCCAACATATCTTCTATTCTGTGTAAAATACATTGAAAGAATCCTATTTGGATGGAAATTCAACTAGGGTGAGGGGGTTATGATAAAGGTGCAAGAGAAGCTTAGGAGCTGTGGTGGCGCAATGGTTAGAATGCAGTATTGCAGGCAAGAACAAGCAATCTTGTTCAATCTTGACCAGCTCAAGGTTGACTCAGCCTTCCATCTTTCCAAGTCAGTAACCTAGATTGTTGGGGGGGGGGGGCAAGTAGGCTGACTCTGTAAATTGCTTAGCAAGGGTTGTAAAACACTGTGGAGCAATAAGTCTAAGTTCTATTGCTAAAACCTGCAGGAAAATATTTTGTTTTCAGCAAATCCAGAAATACTGTTAGCCTCAGATTCTGCAAAAGAAACCAGACACTCCCAGGAGTTAGATGGGTCTGTGCACATTCTTATTAGCACTTTGGAACACACCCTGATCCACCCATTTGACTTCTAGCTAAAATGATAAAATTAAGTAAAGATAGTCCTTGACTTACAACCCATTCAGTGATCATTCAAAGTTGCAATGATACTGGAAAAAAGTGACTTCTGATTGTTTTTCACACTAATGGCCTTTGCAGTATCCTGATGGTCACCTGACCAAATTTGGATGCTTGGCAAATTTATGGCGGTTATAGGGTCTCAGGGGTCATGTGATCACCTTTTGCGACCTCCTGACAAGCAAAGTCAATGGAGATGGATTCACTTCACAACTATGTTACGGGCTTAACTACAGTGATTCACTTAACATCTGTAGCAAGAAAGATCGCAATTGGAGCAAAACTCAACCAGTCTTACTTAGCAATGGAAATTTTTGACTCAGTTTTGATCTAAGTTGAGGACTACCTGTAAGGGGACTTCCACACAACTTCTGGTCCCATCTCTCACCTGCTTGGCTGATCCAGGTCTGCTAAGGCTGGGGAAGAAAAAAAATAAGGGGAAGGGGAGAAAGTTTTCTTGGGATTTATGATTGGTTTTGTGTTCTAGATATTCTAATGGTCACTCTTCCCCCTCAATTTTAAAGCCCTCCTGATGAGTTGGGCCAGTCTTCTTCTGAGTACATTTTCCCGTTTTCATGAGGTACAGCCCATCCCTTGCCAACAGTCCTTCGCGTAGGGAATGCAGTTCATGATCCAGGAAACCAAAGTTTTCTTTGCAATACCAACCTTTTAGCCAATAGTTTATTTCTAGAATTCTTTTTTCCCTCAGTGGGGTAGGCCTTTCGTTGGGAGTATTGATGAGAACACCGCTTGTGCTGCTAGCTCCTTAACTTTATTGCCTAGTTGTTTATAATCTCTCAATATTATACTCAGGTTCTTTGTGTCATTCATCACAATTTGGAGGAGGAGGGGGGTAGTAATCTGTGGGCCTAATTATTTTGGGTAGGTTCTCAGCCACATCTTTGGTTTTTGCTTCAGAGAGACAACATACCTCCCTGGATTGTATGTCCCGTTTGTAGATGGATGGTTCTGTTCCTTTAAGGATAGAATCTCCTATTACCAACGCTCACCTTTCTTTTTGGGGGGGGGGTTGCACTCTGGGGTGCTCTTCTGTTTATCTCAGGTTTGACTTTTTTAAGGGATAATTGGTGTTTTTTTTAAGGAGGAGGTTGTGGGTCTGCATATTTCTATCAATCGATCAATCACTCAGTGTTAATGGGGCTGCTTCTGTTTGGGTTAGATTGGGCAGTAGGGATTTGTTAGATGTATGCTGCTTCTTTCTTTGATCATTGTGTTTCCTTCTATGTGTGACATACCTCCATTTGTCTTCCTCCAAGGGTTTATCAGTAGGGTCAAATCCTCTAGGACAGTGGTTCTCAACCTTTTTAATGCCGCAATCCCCAACCACTCCTTAAGTCGAGGACTACTCAACCGGTCATAAGTCACGGACTACTCAACTGGTGCAGCACCGTTTGCAGAATGGGACTTTTGGCGGGCTCAGCAGGCAGAGACAGCCTGGACAATTCCTCTATTCAAGAGAGTCTATTCTATTGACTTTCAAAAGCCAATAGAATAAAAAGAAGTAGCACAGCTAAGGAAAAGGGGAAAAAAATGGCGGACTGCGTTGTTTGGCGACCCTCGTGAAATGGTCGTTCGATCCCAAATGGGGTCCCGACCCACAGGTTGAGAACCACTGCTCTAGGAGTTATTTGTTCATTATTTGGTTCAGTTTGGGTATAGCTTTCTTGAGTAGGATGGAGTTTGGCTAGAGTTGCCTCTAAGTCCCTTACTTTTTCCTCTAGTAGTTCACATAGTTTATATTTAATGCATGTATAATTTGGGTGTTCTTTGGGCATAAGCACATACATGGGACATGTATTGCATACCACAACAGTATCAGTCACGTATATAATATACAGTATGTGAGGTCTGTACATTTATTTTAATAGCTGAAAACATTTACACTGTTAACTGTAGAAACAGCTGTGTCATCAAACATTTTTCTCATTTCCTTTAAATTGTTTTAATACAGTTACTTCAGACTCGAGGAGATGAAGTTCACGTTAAAAAAAACAAAAAAAGAAAAATACCCTCCCACCTCCCAGAAAATAAAACAAAAACTCACACTGAGGGAAGGTATCCATATTAAAAAAAAAAAAAAGTGGTGCCCTGTAAAACAAAACAAAAAGTGAAGTGACATACAGCTGGAAAGGTTCTACCACAGAGTCCTTGGCTGTGAGGGGAATTCAGACACTAAATACAGCCAGAAAGCAATACAGGCAAATGGAGGAAACAAGTGAGTTGCTCTGAGTTTGTCTATTTCAGGGGTAGGCAACCTTGGCTCTTTTATGACTCATGGACTTCAACTCCCAGAATTCCTGAGCCAGCATGGCTCAGTTTGGAAACCTGTCCCTTTCCCCTCAGCATGGCTGACTCAGGAATTCTGGGAGTTGAAGTCCACGAGTCGTAAAAGAGCCAAGGTTGCCTACCCCTGATCTATTTCAACCAGAAATTCAGCTGCTCAGCATCAAGAGATCCTGTCACTAAACCCTGGACTCTTTGAAAGCCTCAACAGCCACATAGAGATGCCATCTATGTGGATGTTGTGTATCCGTGAAGGGTGTGGATTCACACATGTATACGAACACACGCAATTGCCTCCACTACACAAACTGTCAAGCTATCATTGCTGTGTATGTGCTTTGAACCCATTCTTTCCAGAACTAAGATCTAATCTACCCCAAAGGAAGGGACATTCTGTTTACTACAATTCTTTCCAGTTCATCGTCTTTTAAACCAGTACAATTTAAGTTAGTATTTTCCAGGTGCCTGGATCCCTGCCTTTCTACACCAAGAAAAAGAATGCAAGAATTCAGGCTGGCTCAGTCTGCTGCGCTGCTATTGTATTAAGTCTCTGCCCTTTCGTCAGACTGAGCTAAGGAAAGTTGTCCTCTACCCCATGAACAAGTACAGGACCAGGGAAGAAATTGTTATTTTCTCTCTGCTCAGCCACACACAATCCACAGGCTGGAAAATTTGCTCAGTTCTTACACTCAAAAGCACAGCTAGAGGACTTACAAGGAGAACAAACAGCAAAACAGAAATAAGATACAGAGAAAACACATCTGAGACCTCTGTACTTTCCAAATGCTTTTGTTGCTTGTTTTTCTGTGTTGCCTGGGCTGTTTTCATTGTGAAGGGACAACCCACATGCCTCCTTCAGACAAAAGGCCAACCCACGTTTATAGTCCTTCCCTGTGAGCTTTCCAGAGGCTTCAAGATCCTCCTCCGGGATCAATATCGTTCTCTTTGTCTTATCTTTCAACAGGATTTGTGCCCATCCTGACTTAGGAACAGCACAGCATAGACTGAATGATGGCACTTCCACTGAACGTGGGCTAGTGAGGCATGGCTGTTATTCTCATACTCTGGGACGCTATGGGGTAGGTCACCATGGGAGTAGTGGCGTGGCTCATGGTAATTCCCCCTAGAGGCTGAGCCATCGACACAGCCACTGGCGCTACCGATACAGCTACGGGGGCCATGGAGACAGGGGGAGCCATCCCCTGGGCAATGGTCTGAGCCAGAGCTGCCGACAGTGGGGTGATTTCGGGGTTCATAGGAGGAGCTGCGTTGCTCGGGGGTGCTGCCTGCGCTCCAGCGGGAGCGACCAAATCCTGCTGGGAGACAGGACGTGGCTGCAGGGCTTGGCTGCTCAGAGTCGTGTGAGTTTGGGCAATGCTGTGGTTATAGTTGGTCACAGTGCCCACGGTCGGGGCCAGAGTCTGCTCGGTGGCTGTAGCTGTGGAGCTGAGGCTCATCACTTTGGCTTGGTTGCGAAATTGGGCGTTCTGTTCCAAGAGGACCTCATTGGTGGCCAGGAGGTTGTTGACCTGCTTTTTGAGGTCCTCTACTCGTTTGCGGAGCATGATGTTTTCTTCTTCCAGAAGACGATATTCCACCGTGCGTGGACTAGTGAAGTTGTATTCGTAAGTTTCAAAGTGGAGCCCGTCCACTCGCCGCCTTTTGAGCACAGGGTCGTGGTCATCATAGCATCGGTCAGAGTCATACATTGGGTCATAGGGGTCATAGCGACGCACAGGGGTGGTGATACCCTGTTCCCGGGTTGCCAAGCCCCGGGCATCGTATTCATAATCCCGCTGCAGGTGCTGGAATTTGCACTTGGCCCCACGCTGGCAATCGCCCTTGAGGAAATCTCGGCAGATGGGAACCTCTTCCTTGCTGTTGGGGAGGTCAGCTGGGGACAGGCCCAGCCCGGCTGCCACTTTCTGGCGGAGGCGCGGGGGAAGCTCCCCAGTCTTTTTGTAACAGTCTTCGTCCTCTTTGGTGCCATGAATGAAGCGGCAATTGATGCGGACGCACTCCTTGTTCTGAAAGTCGTGGCAGAAGATGAACTCGTTCTTGCTCACCCCCAAGTTGGTCACCTCATTGATGTCAGGGTGGCGGAAACGGCAACGTTTGCCCCGCTTGCAGACGTTGCGCAGGAAATCTCGGCAGATGTCGTCGGAGTTGGCGCTTGCCTCATCGCTACCACTGCCATTATAGGTGTTGTCACGGTCAGGCATCTTCTTGTCACGGCTGCGTCCTTAAATCAAGCAACTGTGCAGGAGACCAAGTAAGAAATGAAAAGGAAAAGAGGCTATTAACATCTCATATTTGTATGTATGTATTTATTTGTAGTTAGATGCATACATTGCATTAATCCGCCTTTTAAAAATGCTGCATAAATGGTTGACTGGGTGGTTGCAATATTTGTACCCTACAGTTTACAAGCCAACTATGGCTGGGTTAACACAACATGCTAAACTAAATTCAAATTGTGTTATGGATTAATATAAATCCAATTTTTCATCTATTGGTAATTGCCTCAACTGGTACCTTTATTTTACAGCATTTAATTTACATTTACAGGACCTCAATACTGCTGTTTTAATATTTTCTCTTATTCTGCCAAAGGGAAGGGGATGGATATAGAATTTTATTCTACTATTTCATACTTTCTCCCTTTTTACTTTAACTCATTATATAGGTTGGCCTTGATTAGTGCTGATTATGAATCCTACCAGTGGTCATACTGTTCAAATTTACACTATTCGACGTAGTATTTCTAAGAAAAACAGGGTAATTGTTTCCAGCCCAACAGAAATAGGCAATGAAAATTTTTAAATAGAAATTTTGATATGTTTATTAATGAAGTATAACAATAAAAGATTAAAAGTGTGCTTACACCTTCTAGTTTTTTAACAAGTCACATATAGAAATATTTGTTATAGCTATAGAAAATAAAAAGAAAAAAGAAAAATTAAATATCATTCCTATCCATTTTCTAAAAAAGAATAAACTACAGGATAAGTGCATATCCAAAGGACCCCTTCTGATTCCTGTATTCTGCTGTAGCTTTTCCAAAATGACCCTCTCCTTTTTTAAGCTCTCCTCCAGTGGAACCTTCCTTTTCTCCATCTTGCACATATGTCAGTTAGCATCTAAAATGCCAGCCGCAACTATACATGAGCTAGCTTCAGCTGCCTACACGCTAGCCTTGCATCAACTGAATTTTGCCTCACAAAATGCAACCTGCTTTCAACTTATAATCTTCACTAAATCAAATACCCCACTAATCAGAGTTCACCTGCAATAGTCTATGGCAGGGGTAGGCAACCTTGGCTCTTTTATGACTTGTGGACTTCAACTCCCAGACTCATGGACCTGAAGTCCACGAGTCATAAAAGAGCCAAGGTTGCCTACTCCTAGTCTATGGTATACATCTTTACACTGGAATAATATAGCTACTCCGTAATTTTCCTGAAAGACCCAACTAAAGTGGCTATGTTTAACCAACAGCAATCTAGCAATGTGAACTTTCAAATAAAGAATGGGGGGGGGGATGGACAGGCCTTTCTCCTATTGAATGGACGCCATTCATCCTGGCAGCTGTTACTCAAATTGAAAAGGAAATAACTTCAAGCATTATAAGCACTTAAAGGAGCATTTCCCTGGGAGCTGGCAAGTGAAAGCACTCTCACTGGAGAACTTTGAGCACAGACTTCTAGGGATTTGTGGGGAGCATTCAGCATTACAGCTCTTGACAGCTGCTGCTGCCACTCGTAATGCCCAGAAAGCAAAGATACGAAGCAGTGTGAACTGAGAGGTACTTCATCTGAAAGCACTCCACTCACATTTGGACAAGACTCAAGAAAGACTTCCTGCAAGGAGGGGGCACTGGAGGTTGAGCCTGACTTGAGGCTCCATCGGTTAGAGAGACTGGGTTAAAATGCTGCCAGAGGTTCCACATTCATTCTATAGGTGAACTACAGACCTACCTGGCTCTCCTTTCCATCTCTACCCTGTTCTAAATGTCATGACAGATTAAGTTCAGAACTGGCTACCATCAATACACTTAAATTTTACACTCAATTGGATCAGCCCCATTCAGCAAACTCTGGATGCAACCAATTGAAATTTAGTTCACCTCCAAATAACGGTCTTCTGAAGCAGTCAAGATAATTGACTTAATTTACCTCATTCACTAATTATTTAATTGAATTTATTCCATCGCTTGCATAAATGTATGGTATTTGTACATTTGCACATTACATCAATGTATGTCATGGGCATAGCATCATTTGTAAATGTTATAACCATATAAAAGATATAATTACCTCAATTACTTAAATATATAGATTATGCAAATTACTTTGATTGCATATTCAGTTCTAAAGACCTATTCCTACCAACCATTACCTGAAATCAAAGCTGTACTAAATCAATGCCATAAAAGCGCAAAGAATTTGAGTGCCTGTTCTATCATCCATCATTAAGATCACAATACCATTGTTTATATGAAGCTGTAGTAAGAGGTGTCAGCTCAAATGCCAATTTCAAAGTGAAAATAGATACAAAACCCTACATACTCAGCAACATTTTTTTTTCAATTATCATACTTTTCCCAGTTTCAAACTGTTTGCAAAAAACTGAGGAAATTCCTGTACTCAGCCCAGAAATCAAATTACAACTATGACATGATTGTAAATTGATTTTAAGGTCCCTTTAAACTAGGAAATTTAATATTTAATTAGCAACAGATATATTTAGCAACATATTTCTAATTTGAATTTTACCTTTGTGATATAAATTTTTCAAAGACATTCCAGAATGGTTTATGACCCCAAGACCTGAAGAAAAAAAGGCAAAAAAAAGACATGAAAATTCTATACACACATGTTGTGCTTGTGCCTATGTAACTAAATGTGAGAGAAAGATCAACACTTTCTTACACAATCCTAGTCTCAATGTTTCAAATTATTCCAGGGGCTTCTCAGCTTCCAACTTGCCAGAGAATACTTGAAAATTTGCTATTGAGACTTCAAATATTGCAGAGAACAGGATGCTTTAAGTTTCCTGATGTGCTTAGTATCAGGCTAGTATCAGACTTGTAACTAATGTCACACAAACTGAAAATAGGATGTGCTCAGGTTTCCTTCTATGGCTTATACAGAGGAAAGCAAGGCATCACTGAGTAAGCCTATCAATTATACTTTTATTTAGAAATTTTAGGAAACTTTTGAGAAATTCCTTAACATCTAAACATAACATCTAAAAGAACCAACCTATGTTATCATGTCACCGTTGTATACTTTTTATAATATCAAAATACTGGCTTTATAGTTTGATAGCATATATACTTTAATAAAAGCAACAGTGTCCCCATACACACCTTGCAAGGACAAGAAGCACAACGCCGAGTTATATAGCCCCATCAAATTATTTATGAAATGAGTCAAAAGCTGATGACAGGTCGAAGTCTTGCATATTCTTAAAACTAGGCTTAAAACAAGGCCCTTTACTTTCAGTGGTGAAGGGACACCTTGCTTAGGGCAGAAACACTGCGATACAGGGTTACTCTCTAGTTTATTTTTGAGCTTTCTGCTAATTATCCAAGCCCTATACAAACTCTTGCATACTCAAGTCCTGGAAGGAAAATCTTGAAAAATTAAATAAAAATCCCCTGGGAGGGAAAGACCGAGGCAGACCTCAGTCTGCTTTGGGGAAGGGTCAAAGACCCTACTGGGAACAGCTGGGGGTTCCTGTGAAAGGCCCCGGGAAGGAGCTCGACAGGACGGTCCCTGAGGCTCTCAGAGGTCGCGCCTTTCATTTCTAGGCAAAATGGGGGGACGCTGGAGCCTCACGAGGGAGCCGATCTCCCCCCCCCCCACATACACACACACACTTCCACCACCACCCACTCACCCTCACTCCGACCTCTTCTGCTCCAAACAAAGCGCAACCCCTTCCGGTCACAATCTCCCCTCTTGCCGCTGCCGCCGGAAGTACTCTATGTTTCGTTCTTCAGCCGGGCCGTCGACTGAAGTTCCCGGCTGTCAAGGTTGCCATGGCAATCACGAGTTTCTCTTCCTCTGCTTCCGCCCTGTCACTCGAGGAAAATTCGAGCCGAGTCGCGAGCGAACGTCGGCTGGAAATCCAGCCTCGTCGGTCTGCGCTACCTTTTTTTTCGTGGCGGGAAGCTACGTAGTACGGCTCCAGGTGGTGGATCCCGTTCCCTGCTGCTGGCGCTGTTACGGCCTTAAGAGAAAGCCGTTCTTGCTGCTCTCGCTTTTTGGCGACGACCAAATCGAATGAGAGTTGACAGCGTCATTATTGCAATGTGATTATAATCGCGACTTTATAAATTGGGGAAATGATGAACGTCCAATATCCTACGAGCTTTAAAAAATCCTATCTGGGGACAGCCATCGTTGTCTGTAATGACACCATTAACTGTACTTTATGTGCTTACTCAAACTTCCAGATCACCCCCACAAGCAAATACACCATAGGGGTTGATTTTTATTCATGAACCAATTTTTAGCGAACTAAAATTTTATTTATTTTTGGAAAGGAAGCTAGTGACATCCAGGCACTTATACTACAGTTTACAGCAGTGTTTCTCAAACTTGGGAATTTTAAGCTAGATGGACCTCAACTCCCAGAATTCCCTAGTCAGTATGGCTGACTGGAGATTTCTGGGACTTGTAGTGCACATGCCTTAAAGTTTTCAAGTTTGAAAAACCCTAGTTTACAGCAATAGAAATCAGTTTTTCATGTGATGACTCTTCAGGCAAAATTTGTTACATCCCCTGAGTATTACTAAGTATACAAGAAACTTGACAATCGCTTTCTTTCCAAACCCCATGATCTTCAGTCTGAATAACGTATGAAATGTATACTATATACTGCAGGTATGCATAAGACTCAAAACTGATACTATTTTCTATTGATTTTTCTTACCTTCTAAAGTGGATGTTTGCAAATTTAGACGCATTTTGGAAATCACTTAAGCTTTTTAAAAGCATAGCCATACATTCTCTCAAATGACATAGGCTTTGAGATTATCAATATGCATAATTGTGCTATAGATCAAACTTTAAGGAAATAATCTTAGTGCAACATCCAGCAGGCCTAGATCAATCATACTGCATTTGACTTCAAAACTGATTACTATAAAAAAACATGTTTTTAATACAGTGTGTGCATGTATATGTCTTTTATGATTGTAAGCCAGTTATCTTGTGGTAAGATGTGCAGCCAATGTTATACTATAAATCATTAAGATTAATCAGGACTCTGAAATAACATTCTTTTTAAGTTTTCCATCAGACCACTTTTGAATAAGGGGCAGATTTCATAGGTTCCAGAATAACCTAAAAGAGAAGTCTGCCTTCAGAATAGTATAAAAATACTGCCCCCCCCAAAAAAAAATCACCCAAGGAGCTTGTAGATCTGAAAGTCATGACCCTTTCTTATGAAGAAATGGTGCTAGTTAGATTCTAAGCAAATGATGCATTTTCTTCAAAAGCATCTTTTAAAAATCTGAATACCAGACTTACCTTATTCTATAATACAATTACCAGAACTCAAAACATCAGCTGCATTATGTAGCGTGGTTTACCAAACCGAGAAATACATCATGAAATTAGACATAAAACCATAAAAGAATTTTTCCAAAGTGAAACTGAAATCACCTAGAAACATTCGTGTCACCATAATTTCAGAATCTTTTTACTGAAAAATCAACATTTGAAAGAAAAAAACATGTAGAATTCCCCAAAAACGGGGTTTTTATTTGATACAGTTGCTACATCAAGCCACCAAGGACAAGATCAGTCCAGAATAGTAAAGCTCAGGGATGCCATCCTCAAAGGATCACTGCTCCCAGGCTTGAAGATGGAATCTCCTGAAGATAGGCAAAGAGTCTTCTAGCAGCAGCAAAAAGAAGGCATTAATCTGGAAGTTGGCTTCCCAAGCTCCACCTTTCCATGCTGGTTTGCAGCTTCAGTAGCACTGTGAGGATGTCTACTTGGACCTTTGCCTCATCTTTCTCCTTTTGCGCTTCAGCCTAAAAGAAATAATATTAACTGAAAATCCTAAAGTAGTATCACCATTTTAACAGCTCAAATAAGATTTGGGGCATTTCTGTTAAGTACAAGATGCTTGCAAAAACAGAACTTTGGAGATAGCATGTAGGTCCCTTCCGACTTTATTATTATTAAAAAGGTAAGAGGAAATTGAGATATAGAACTTCCTCATATCTCCAGATCAATTTCTGTTGAGCAGGTTAAGACTGAACATTTCAGGTGACAAATAGAAATTCCAGTATTGGAATATTTAGTTTAATAGTTGCTGTTTTTCTTCTTTCTGATAATAGAAACTTCCACAGCATAGAAAAAAAGCAAATCTATTATAAATTTCCAGATCAACATATTCAGGTTGACGATTACTGATGCAGTTTTCTTGGTACCATTACTGAAGTAGTTTTCTGGAAATTCTCAGTGGTCCAGCCAATGTCAGCCAGCTGGGGCAGTCTGTCTTTATATTATTTATATAAATAGATGTCAATGAAGTAATACTAGAAGATATAAAAATTGTCTCATGGCAATTTTTATTTTTAAAATAAAATTTTATTTTTACCAAGAAACTTATCCTCCTATGAAATATTTAGCACATTAAAAAACTAATTCTAACCCTTAAAGCCTTCCACCTATACAAACATACAGCAGTAATAAACATTGCATGAAATATACTTGGGCACATTCTGCTTCTTTAGGCTATGAAGTCTTAAAACTCCAGAGTTTATGAAACAAAGATGTCTATTTGCTGGCCCCTGAAATGTTCAGTCTTAAGCTTCTAACTTGTGCAGAGAAAGAATCAACAGGACATATTGAATAGATTATTCATTTAAATCAGAAGCATCATAACAAGAAACTGGATACAATAGACATTAATTTTGAAGTAAATCTTGTTTCTTGAATGTTGCTATTAGCATAGTCTCTACACTCTTAAACACTGCTTATTGTTACCAACCTAAGAACAATAGACCTGGCAATTCTAGTTATATCTCTGCTATCAATTATTTGACTTAGTAAAGTTTTCAATTTGGATGCACAATATAATAGTAAGAATCGTTGCTTCAAGGTAGTGAGTTGCAATCCCAGGTACAAAGGAATATGAATTTGAATAAAGACAGATTCATATTTCAAGTCACCTAGTTTTGAAGTTAACCATGAGCTTTGACAAACTACTTCATTTTAAACAAGCCACAACTAAAAGATGTCTTATTAGAGATTAAAAGTTAAGATCATCTAATAGTCTTTTAGAGCAAACAGAATAAAGTAAAAATGTATGCTCACATACCTGCGCATTCTCTTCTTTCGCCACTAAAGATGGTGGGAGGGGAAAAAAGTCACATTAGAATTTCTGATTGCATCAATGATACAAAATGAACAAACTTATTCAGTTACATATTTAAAACTTTCATTTTGTAAAATTTCACCAATGTGTAAATCAATTGATAATTGTAGAAATGAACAAAAAGCTGCAAAAGAATGAAAATGAAGTCTGCATTTAAATCAACATAGTGTGTATAAAATATTACCCAATACCATGTACACATTTGGGTACGGTATCTACAAAACATCTTCAGCACTGCATGCTATTTGCAGAGCAAGAATTACTTATACATAACAGCGATTCTGAAGTTAATGCTCATCAATTAATACACACATGGTTCATCAGAAGTTGAGGCCCACAGAATTCAACAGGGCTATTATCGAAGGATGTGATAGGATTGAAACGAAAAACCGAACATCTCCGTTTAAATGAAAACTTTTCAGATGGGTTCCCATGTCAAAAGTATTTAGATGGCTTTAAAAACTCTCGTTTAACTGTCGTTTCTCCATGCTACATACGACATGCTCCCTTTTTAAAATGTTTTAAAGTAATCGAGGCCTCAACCCTGAGTTCAGTATAGAGGCTCAAAAACAGCTTTATTTCGCCAGAGCCATTCCACCAGCATTTTCAGTTTTTGTTTCAAACTGTCCCTCCACCACCTAGCATGAAGGCCCTGCTTATTTCTTGGCCACCCATCGAAAGGTGTGTTGAGGTACAAACTCAAATCCAACCTATATTTTCGGGCTCGAGACACAACTTACCTTAGCTCTCATAGTGGGGCGAGGCCCCTGGGGTCACTCCCTAGAAAGAGACGGCAAAGCTACAGCTGGATGGCAACGGATAGACAAGACCGCACCAACTAACATCAAGCACCTCACACACAAAATGGCGCCGTCAGCAAACAGCAGAAAGGCCTAGGAAGGCCGTCGCCTGCTATTTATAGTTTGCTTTGTGAGAGGGCGGTGCGAGATAAGCAAGTGCCTGCCGCATTGCAAGATGGGAAATGTAGTTCGCGTCTATAAAGGCACTTGCTTTTTTTCCTGCGTTTTCCGGTTAGAACTGTACTGCTTTCCACCATTTTGAATTTAAACTTTTACTCCGATTCTTGTCTAAATAGTAAGATGTGATAGCCACGCGCCATTAATTCTCGGGAAAACAGCTTATGATTAAAAGTGAACAAACAGCAGAATGAACTTTTTTTCCAGTAATAAAACTGTTATATATCCAGCACAATCTGTCCCTACTTGTGTACAGAAGGTACTTCCCTGAAATACTTAAATTTAAATACCTAATCTTAGAAATCAGTACTATCCTACGCAATAACGAAGCATGACTAAAATATTATTTTAATTTGCAACCCTTCCATTTTACAAATTATTGTAGCTAAGGACAGAGTTAGGATTATTTACTAAATATATGAGCTCATTTCGAGTAGTAAACCCCATAAGATCCTCCGACCTAAAACCTACTTATTCAGTATTTACCAAACTAGTACTGTCTTAGGTACTCAGCTCTCTTAAGTCCCAAGTCCCAGATAAGGCTGTTATTTTATACAGGAGAATTGCATATACTTAACAAGAGAAGATCTGGAGGTATCGAAAATGTTTTAAGCCTTGATAAATATTAAATTCCAAAAGAATTAATTACATACTAAATGCTAAAGCTAAACTGTACACATTCACAATAGCATCTAAAAACAGAGCGACTAATAACAGAATTGAAAGGGCTCTTGGAGGTCTTCTAGTCCAATCCTCTGTTGAAGCTGGAGGCCCATATCATTCCAGACAAGTGACTGTTCGGTCTCTTCTTAAAAGCCTCCAGTGATACAGCATCTGCAACTTCTGAAAGCAAGCTGTTCCACTGGTTAATTGTCCTCACTGTTAGGAATTTTCTCCTTAGTTTTAGGTTGCTTCTCTCCTTGATTAGTTTTCATCCATTGTTTCTTGTCTTGCTACATTTAAAAAAAATGAGACCGCCACTTCATTTAAGAGATACAGGGTTATAATGTGTGAAATATCAACACAATACCTCAGCAATAGTATTGGCTAACAGAGCTTGCATTCAAGTAAACAGAGCCCTAGGGAAGACAGTAATA